GACATTGACTTTATTTGGATTTGCTCTTGAAATATTAACATTTTGGAGTCAGTTTGTAAGCAAACATCTGTGGAGATTGGGTATTTTTGTACGTTTATCAAACTATTTTAAAACTAAATGCTCAAAAGTTGATAGAAGATATGAATTTAATTTTTGGTATCAGTACTTAGGACATCAACCTCCAGCTTTTACATTGAGTACAATGTTGATTTTCTCAAAAAGGGAAAAATCAACCTGCCCTAATATATCATTGTAACACCGGAAACAAAGTAATATCTATAATAATAATAATAATAATAATACTAATAATAATAAATCTCGGTTACAGATATAGGACCTGTAACAATTCTATGGAACTTTACAATACATACAGACATAACAATCAAAGCTAATCTCCCAGAAATCGTGATCAAAGACTACAAAAACAAAAAAAGAATGTGCTTTCTTATTGACACCGCATTCACTGTAGATTGTGATGTATCTTTGAAGATCTTCAAAAGACTAGCAAAATATAAGAATCTTGAAATGGAAATCTCAAAATATGTGGTATATGAGGACATCAATATTTCCGATTGTAGTTGGAGCCCTCGGATTGATTGGAAAAGTTCCGATTGACTCATTGAAGGCATACCTGGTAGCCCATGCCTTAATTAAATACAAAAGATTGTACTCAAAAATACAGCTCACACATTACAAAGTGCTTCATCTATGTAAAACGTGTGTCATCTTAGAACTTTCGCGAGTGGGGGGGGGAGTACTACAACAATGATCAGTGGAAAATGCCATGAAGCCATTTCTGACCTTAGGTCTCTAAGTAGAACCCAGAAGGAAATGAGTATACAACAGAAATCAAAGGAAATAATAATAATAATAATAATAATTTTTAATAACAGTAATGTGCCTAGAATGAATATAAGCGAGGACACGATTGGATTGGATTGGATTGGATTATATTGGATTGAATCGGATTGGTAAAAGAATCCATTGTTAAGTTGGCTTCATTGTAAACGAAAGGTGGATATGATCAAATGCAATGGTAGAAAATGACAGTCACAAGATATGGAATTTCTCAGTCCACACAGATCGTGTAACTGAAGCATGGCAACCCGACCTTATTGTTATTGAAAAGCAGAATAGCAAGTGTCAGTTTATTGACTTTGCTGTTCCTTATGATAGAAGAATGGCCTCAAAGGAAATCGAAAAGATATAAAAAATACCAGGATCTGGTTAGGAAGTTGAAAAAGTTATGGAACATGTATGTAGAACTAATTCCTGTAGTAATAGGTGCTCATGGAATACCACCTAGAAAACCGAAAAAGGTCTTGGAGAGATATGGAATTATGACAAAGATCGTAGATCTCTAGAAAATGGCCATCACTTACTCAGCTAGGATTCTTGAATTGCAAGGAGTCTTGTTGATACGTTGCCTCAAGAAGAGAATTTCCATCGCTAAGGAAAGTAGCAAGTGTCAAATTATGAGCCTGTTGTTCCATATGATGCAAGTGTGAACTCCGAATAAACTAAAAAGATTGAAAAATTCCAGGATCTAACTAGAAGGCAGAAGAAGCTCAGTTCAGTTATGTGCCATGCGGGATACACGCTTAGGCGATCATGTATCTTTCGATACATGACTGACGAGGTAGATTTTTTCCTGTAGTAGGTTGTCATTTCTTTCTGCAGTAGAACAGTTGTCATTCAAGGCTATAGAACCCGTTCTTTCCTGCTATTTACCCATAGTTGGAGAAGAAGAGGATTCATACCTTTCCCAAGGTTATTAGCACGTAAGTGAATGTAATGGATTTGACGGGAATTCGAACTCGGTTCTCCGATTCCTTAATCCGAGCCGCTATCCATTACTCCATCGGGCCTCCTCAGAAAAAGTAAATGGAACGTAAATGTAGAACTAATTCCTGGAATTCCCGAAAACTGGGAAAAGCGGTTAAAGAGAATTGGAATTGAGACCAAGATTATGACCTCTAGAAAACTGCCATCATTTACTCTGCGAGGATTCTCCAAAAAGTTGTAAGGAGTCTTGTTGACACCATGTCTCAAGAAGAGAATTTCCATGGAAGACGTCAATGTGCGACGCCAACATAATAATAACTAGCAGCATGGCCCGGCATTGCCCATGCTTGATTCAAAAATCGTACGACTCATACAGCAATCGCTATCACTTGACTTAAAATATTTTTGCCCTTCCTTGCCTTTAAAGGAGTGCCCTTTGCCGTGCTGATGTTGCTACATGCCTTACTTCTTGCCTATCTCACACTTCAAATTTTTTCTAAGCTCTATACTAAACATTAAATCTGTTACGAAAAAAGAACTAAACAAAATGAACACAAAATGATCAGCTTTAAAAAGGACTCGTAACTGGAAAAACCTAATGAAAAAAAGAATGTTAACAACAACTTTTTTCACACCCAACCCAGTTCTGCGGAATCAGAATCAACGTTGAGTTTAAGCAAGCGAATGAGCCAATTGGAGTAAAGTGCCATGCAGATTTAAATTTTTCCCACTTGTGACGAATGCAGCTATCGATTTTTTTTTGCATGCTAGCATGCTAGTTAACATTCGTGTCAGTCAGCTGTTGGTTCTCACGCTGGCCAATAAAATCTTCCTGCCTATTTGTGGCAGCCAGCAATAGGCTCTCACTCTGGCCAGTAGAAAATGGCCGCAAACTACATGAAAACTGCCGTAGAAGCATGAAAAAATCTTTCCACTATCGATGGGCGTTGGGAAATGCAAAGTTGGCATTGGCCTTCCCACTAACTTGGAGCATGTGCATTTAAATTTTGGTGCAAATCCGTCGAAAATTGCGGCCGTGCATTCGTCACACACACACACACACACACACACACACACACACACACACACACACACATCCTGCCTTTTATAGATAGAGATAATAATAATAATAATAATAATAATAGTAGTAGGGTCAAAGATATTGTTTAGAAGTATACATGAAATAAACACTATGTAAAGTTCTGTAAAAAAAACAACGAAAATATTTAACGCCAGGTAACTCTAACAGAGTTACTGGTACCATGTACTACTAGTACTACCAGCCGCGTGGTCGGATCATCGGCAACTAAACCGGTTCCCACGCCAGGCTTTTCTGTTGACGAGCGACATATTTAAGAACACGGCTTGTCAAAGTGCAGATGAGCTTTCTTATAAGATCAACGGCTATCAAGCACAATGGAATATACTGGGTTCTATAGCTATGGATGCAGCCAGTGCAGTGATAACATGGCATCGCCGAATGGAGAACTTACTTGACGGAAGTCAACTGCCAGGTTGGATGTTCCCTCGATCGTATCAACGGCCACGTATCAGTGACCAAGACGATTTTTCAAGCAGGGGGGGGGGGCATCGGCTGCAGTCTAACCTGGAGAGGGTTAAGCTCTGCCACCTCTACTTGTTCAAGACACGCTACTCATGAATGAATGCCTCTCCAGCTTTCAACTCAGATATTTGGAGGGAACAGGTAAGTTCACAGCGACTTTACGATCGCACCCAGTCATGGGTCTGTTGATGATAACAACTTTTGATACAACCTAATATATAATAAAATATATAATAATAAAATAAAAAAGATAGTGGGGTCGTAGCGCTTTTCAGATAAATACATTAAATAAGTGCTGATGTAAAGGGCTTAAAAAACGAAAATGTTTTTGATACATCTTATTATTAATAATAAGAAGAAGTTGAAGAAGGAGGAGAACAACAACAACAGCAACAACAACAATAATAATAATAATAATAATAATAATAGAATTATGGATATGCAAAAAGTATAACGGGTTTTTTAATCATTTCAACCCAAGCAAGGTGGTAATGCCATTAGGAGGCGGGTGGTTACATTGAGTGAAAGTGAAAGTGAAAGTGAAGACTGAGAATAGGGAGGATTGGGGAAAGGACAAAATATTAACAGGGTCCAAGAAGACAAGACAGAAAATGACGAGTGGCGTTGCATTTAAATGTTTTGCACATTGTAGTTATCAGGGAAGCAAGAAATCGGAAGGGAGTTCTGAAGGGGGGAGGGAAGAAACTGTTAGAGAGGAAAATGAGAGGAAGTGAAAGAGACTGACAAGACTAAAAATGGAAAGGAGTGAGATAAGGACAAAAAGGAACAGGGTTCAAGAAGAGAGAAGAATGCGATCGACGTTGCAATTAAATTTTTGAAGATTGTAGTTATCAGGGAAGCAAGAAATCGGAAGGGACTTTCGAACCGAGGAAAGTGAGGAGAAGTAGTGGTTGCATCCAGCTATTTCAACAGTAAAAATGATGAGACCTACTTACCAATCTTGTAGCTCGCTTAAATCCATACAGTAGAGGCACCAGGAAAGAAAGCTCGTCAGAGCAGTTGCCACGAAAATATTTTTAGAAAAGACATAGGAAAGCCTCGTCAAGTCGGTGAGAAAGTGAATGTCTATCTGGTCAGAATCGATTACATTACAGACGCTTCTTTAGATTTTGTCCATTATCTCAAGATGAACAGCAGGAGCAACAGACCAGATATAGCAACAGTATTCGATGTACGGACAAATGATAGATTTGTAAATGTGCAAGATGAATTCTGACGCGAAAAACCTTTCTTGTTCGATACAGTGAACCAATATAAGTATAAAGAGTGAAATTGGCAACACGAGTTCAAACTCAAGCTGAGCTTTTGGAATACAGAATTATTAAATTTTAGAAAAAGATACATGTAGAAGGCCTGCTGCATAAATGAGGAAGTTGCACATTTCTACCTGAAGCCAAGGTGCAGCGTTCGAACCCAGGTTAAAGTTTGTTTTTCAAATGATAATTTTCAACGCCACCAGATCTTCACGATTACAAAGATTGACACAATAACATCTTCCTATTCTACATGTGTTTAGAGTCATAGAAACAATGAAAAATCAAAAGGGATAGATAGATAGATAGATAGATAGATAGATAGATAGATAGATGTTCATATCTGTAACCTGTTCACATCTATCTATCCTTTCTAGCCCCACCTGTTCACATTTATCTATCTATCTATCTATGTATCTATCTATCTATCTATCTATCTATCTACCTTTGTTATCTCTGTTCATATATATCAACTCTCACCTGTTCACATCTATCTATCGTGAGAGCTAGCTAGCTATCTAACTCTGTTCATATCTATCAACTCTCACCTGTTCATATCTATCTCGCTCACTGTCATTAATATCCGGTCATAATATCCAGGTCAATAATACGAGCTATATGCTCGTATTAATGACCTTACAAAAAATAGAATAAACAAAAAAAATCAATCCGAGCCAACCGCGCCTACGGAAAAAAAGGAAGCATGTAATGGAAAAGTGGCTCAACTAAAGAGAGACGCAAAATACTCTACAACGCGGGCGGGGAAATTCAATAAGGAATATACACTGAGATGAAACCAATATAATCCCAAAATATCCAAGAGACATCTCGGTTTTCTGAACTGACAAAGGATTATTTCTTTGCGCGAAAATTCTAGTCATGGTCAAGTAGTGTTTCTTGAATATTTTCCTGTTATATGAGGTTAACATCGAGTAGCGATAGTCTGTTTCATGCTTGAACGTAATTGACGTGATCAATAGTTGAGCAAGACCAGTAGACTCAAACACTCGGTCACACAATGACTTGTACCTTCATGCTACCACCACTATCGACGGTTTCGTCTACCTAATTTCAATATATATATATATATATATATATATATATATATATATATATTAAGATTTGAGATTTCAGAAATAAAAGATATTTTTATATATAGTACTCGATATTAAAAATATTAAAATAATATTAAAAATAGAGCGTTATTAATTTTATATGAAAAAGATTACTTTTAAATATCAATTTTATCCCGACATCGATGTTTCTTGGTAAAATTTCCAATCTTCATGGATTGTCGTTTTAAACGGTATTTGTGACTTCAAATATATATATATATATATATATATATATATATATATATATATATGGGAGGGTAAAAATGAAAGTGCTAGAAAAACGAAAACTGGTACTCAAAGAATGAATAATAATTTAAAATACCTGTTTTCAAGAAAGTAAAAAAACAACCACATGGAAAACAACGCTGACACCACCCACACGACGCAAACCCAATGTACCCAAACAATTCCGGACAAAACCAATACTATTCCAGAAGAAACAACCACAAAGAAAATACATATAATAAAAGATCAGTAAATAGAAAGTACGACTTCCGAGAAAACAGACCACACAATCGGAACTACAGAAATCAACACAGACTGAACCAAAGTCAACACATAATGAACAAGTATCAGGAACAGAACAATAGATACAATAATAATAAAAAATATGCAATAACTACAAATACAACTTAAAAATATCGGCATTATGAATAATATAGAGGAATCCCACCCTAAAATAATCGTTTTTTAGAGAAAACCCAGAAGTTGATGGACCCGGTATTGTTCATAACCATGAGAAACGGAAAATAAACAACTTTTTCTCAAAAATCATTAACATTAATAGAAATCCTAGGTAACGGATTAAATTTACACCAACATTCCAAAAACTGAATGAAGCAGAAATTAGAGATTATCTTTCAGAATTCTGCAGAAGACTGAGGCTAGCAGAATAATTTTTTGACGAAGACAACGATAAATCCCTAGTTAAAAACAAAAAATATATATCAACCTGCAAAAGGCGAAAAATGTAGCCGTTGATAAATTCTGTGATTCTATTTTGTGACAAGTATTTATATACTGTACAAGAGCAAAAATGTTGCTGGCTTTTCAAATATTTTGGTATGTGCCTAATTAACAAAAGTGAGTAGGTGATATATATATATATATATATATATATGTGTGTGTGTGTGTGTGTGTGTGTGTGTGTGTGTGTGTGTGTGTGTGTGTGTGTGTGTGTGAATAAGATTGGATATTTAAATTGTTTTGGATTGGATATATATATATTGTTGTTTGTGAATAAATTAGTATTTAAATTGTTGGATTGGAATTTAATGAGGTTATGGATTTTTCTTTTAATTTTCTAGTATTTTGTGGTCATGCATCTTTGCTTGATATATATATATATATATATATATATATATGTGTGTGTGTGTGTGTGTGTGTGTGTGTGTGTGTGTGGTCTGATCAAAAAGTATTGGGACTGGTGGTGCTATAAAAAGAAAATTACAACACATATCATTCCATCTCGTTCGAAGTAGTTCCCTTCTAAAAACCACACACTTGATCCAGCACCGTTTTCATTGATGGAAGCCTTCCTTAAAATTCCTTTTCAGTGATAGCGAGCAGCTCCCTCGTCGATTTTCTCTTAGATTTCCTCAATATCTCCCAAATCTTCTTCCTTTCAAATGGCATTTGATTTTGAAGAGGCGTAAGCTGGAGTATATGGTGATTGTAGCGCCTGAAGAATGAATGTTGCACAATCCATGGTAAAGGATAGAAATTCTGTGATGTGGTGAGGCGACCACATTCTACACACCTTCCTTCCAAATACTTCTATAAACAACAGAATTGAGCGAGAACGTTATAAATTGGTGTGTATGCGCGACAGAGGTCAAGGTCAATATATGCCAAGCGATTTCTCTCTGAATATTTAAACTCCGTTACCATAGAAATAGTCCCGATACTACAGGGTTTTTTTTTTTTAATATTGAAGCGAGGACACTCGCTTTTAAAATTAAGAAAATATGAATTGTTAATTGCTGATTTTTTAATATATGAAATATATATATATATATGTGTGTGTGTGCGCGTGTGTGTAAAAATTTCAGATCGAATATATTTGTGAAAGGACAATATGACATTTGCCTTGATTAAGTCTCTCAGAGACTAAAAACACATCGGCTGAGGTAAGTTTTTTCTTTGTCTTTATTTACATATATATGTATGTGTGTGTGTGTGTCTGTGTGTGTGGTTGCGCGTGTTTGTTTGTGTGTGTGGGTGTGTGTGTGTGTGTGGGTGTGTGTGGTTGCGCGCGCGTGTTTGTTTGTGTGTGTGTGTGCGTTCACTTTTTTGTTCACTTTCGCCTACTCTCTGTTGTTCTTTTTACTTTATTTCTCTCAATTCCTCTCTGGAACTTTACTCTCTTTAATGTTTTTCCCTCCACCACCCTCAACCTTTATTTTTTCTTTCTTTCTCTTTTCATTCCTTCTTTCTTTTTGCTTTCTTTTTCCTTTATTTCTTTAATTTTTATCCCTTATTTTTTTTTTTTTTTTTCTTTCTTTCTTTTTTCTTTCCTTTGTCTTTGTTTTTTTCTTTCTTTCCTTTTTCTTTCTTTCTGTCTTTCTTTCTGTCTTTCTTTCTCCTTTGCTGATTACAATATCTGCACATAATCCATAAGCAACATTTCTGCAGAGAGATTCCCGATAGGAAAATATATTAATATCATTCCCTTCACATTCTCTAACCTTGAAAATGAAGCCACACTAAATAATCTACCTTCCTCTCCACCCCAATAGAACCTTGACACCGCACTCTCTCTCTCTCTCTCTCTCTCTCTCTTTCTCTCTCCCTCTCTCTCCATCCGTCTCCTTCATTCCCTTTTCTCTTGGCCTTGTTCTTATTTCCCTATCCTCATCAGCCCAGGCCTTCACCCATCCGTATCCCACATTCTTCCATTTGGCACATGCCTACTTCCACTAATATCAGGTGAAGTTCGTCTCGTTCGAGAACCGACTATGGAGCCGAAGAAGATAACTATAAAGTTTCAAGCGTGATTTCACCTGCACGCACCTTCCTTATGGGCAGTGGGTGGGTTTAAAGCCTCAGTGTGGAAACCGCGTCAGTAAGTTTATTGGCATCCATCTGAGACTGACCTTTGTTTAAAAAGGCACGCATCTTGGTATTCATTGTGGCGAGTCTTGTAAATTTACACGTTCTTCTTTGATGTGCCGTGTCCCTTCAGAACGTGGGTAATAACGACTCTCCACAACTTCCTATCCGTTGTAGCTCTAAGTCTTATGTCTTAATTTTTTTTCTGGTCCGCATTTTCGGAATTAAAATTTGCTCGCATCTCACCAAATTTTATGTGATAAAAAGTATATTTAAAAATAAATAAAAAACGGAGATAGGGTTAAATGGGAGATAACCGCGTATTCGAAAACAGAACATTATCATTGATAACTCTCTCCTCCAATTTGTGCACCTAGTTACTATATTCTTACTACTTGATATAATGCAAAAATATCACAATGATAAAATCGCTCAATAATTATTTAGAACTATTTATACTGTGACTTATGCATGCAATTACAAGTAATCAATAATAATATTTTAAATTTTGAAAGCATATTTATTTTTGACATATGAATTTTTTGAAACCGTTTCTAAATCTTTGATTGTCTTTCAATCATTCTGCCTTGGTTGCTATCTTCTTTCGCCGCACATATGAAGCACGTCGCACCGTTTGTAAACCACAGCAAGCAATGGATGTCCCCTTAGTCTCCTTCTCAGTCAGCCATCAATTTACACAAGCTCTTGGGTTCCCGCTACCCCCCATCCTTTGGTGTTTCCAGTGAGTGGTAACTTGTCCGAGTTTGCCTTCCTCATTTCAACTGCTCCATTCTGATTCTAAATATGTGTCATTTTCACAAAACCTTCCTCGTTGATCACATGTTACATTCATGGTATTCTCAGCTATTCTCTGTGGCCTCAAGTCTCTTCCTCATCCGTGAAGAAATTGTCCAACATTCACTGCCATATATGCCCTCTTTGTTTGTAACAAAATTTTCCTGTTTCAGAATACTTTTCTTTCGCTTTTAGAAAGCATCTTAGAAGTGTCGCCTTTCTTTTTAAAATTTCTGGGATGACGCGTCTTGGAACAACGATTAAAAATCTAAGTTTACACACCATGACTACTTTAGTAATTTCGCTTTTCACTAGGTGCCATACACTTGTAGTTCTGTGACATACTAAGAGTAACTTAGTAAATATCGGTATCCCCCAAAATAATGAAATGACTGCTACTAACAAAAATCATCAGAAGTATAATCAAAATTAAACTTTACGAACGTGCGCAAAAAAGCTCTCGGCCTGACCACATGAAGACTTCCAAAATATTTCTGAGGTTTGGTCAGATTTTCGGGAAATTGTCTCCATCCCTTCGTACATAGATTTAGTAATCGAGGCACTAAGGAAAAAATCACATCAGAATAATTGCCATGAAAATATTTGTAGAAAAGACAGAAGCCACGTCACGCCGGTGAGAAAGTGACTGAAGTCGAGATGCCAGGTCAGGATCGATTATATTACAGATCCTTCTTTGAATTATGTCTAAAATCTCTGAATATATAGCAGAAGCACCAGACCAGCTATGGCTGCAGTATTCAATGAACCGACGAATGGTAGATATATAAATGTACAAGATGGACACAGCAAATCAACATTCCTAGCAGCAGATCTAGCAATTGATTCAATATAATCACTCCAGGTCCTTTATTGGATTACTTACTGAGAAATAGGTTTCTCGTATCAGTGGCTAACTCTCTGGCCAAGTGATTCATGATGTCTACTATTATATTATACGCGCTAATACCGATTGTTACAGTTAGTATTATTGTTATTATTTGTGCTTAATTGTGCTTGTCCAGCTCTTCATTTGTTCGCACGACCGTTACTCCCTGCCAATATCTCATAAATAATAGAATATTCAGTTCTGATTGCGTGGAAAGACAAAATATGTATCAAAGACACTACTTGGTTTCAATGAGAAAATGAATGAATGAAAGAAAGAAAAGATATAAAAGTTTTACGTCTGTTTCCGTGAAACGGAAAAAGTTGTCAATTTCAAAATTTTTCGTTCTTATCCACCTCTTAATAAACGACCAGCGTTCATATTGACGATTGATATTGCAATATTTAGTTAATGTTGCTAAGCTCGAATATTTAACGATGCAACAGGAGGATTTCTACGGATATTTTATTGTAGTAGAACTAACCATGAACTTATTCAGTCATTACCTTAAGAATTAAGATTCATCGGAATATCAAAATAAGAAAACCGTGAAATTTGAACGATTTAAAAGTAGTTATTATTATTCATTAGCATGTCCATGCCTTATATCTGGCAGTTGTGGCACTTCGGCGTGGTGTAATGGTTAACAAGCTTGTCTCGCTAGATCAGTTACGACTGAAAAGTGAGTTCGATTCTCACTAGGTGTCCCATACTTTCGGCCTTGTACCACATCTAAGCTACGCCTGGAAAATAATGATATCTGGCAGTTGTGGCACTTCGGCGTGGTGTAATGGTTAGCAAGCTTGTCTCGCTAGATCAGTTACGACTGAAAAGTGAGTTCGATTCTCACTAGGTGTCCCATACTTTCGGCCTTGTGCCACATCTAAGCTACGCCTGGAAAATAATGATATCTGGCAGTTGTGGCACCTCAGCGTGGTGTAATGGTTAGCAAGCTTGTCTCGCTAGATCAGTTACGACTGAAAAGTGAGTTCGATTCTCACTAGGTGTCCTATACTTTCGGCCTTGTACCACATCTAAGCTACGCTTAGAAAAATGGGCACCTCGAGGCAGTGTAATGGTTAGCAAGATTGTTTAGCTAGAACAATTACGTCTGAGGAGTGAGTTCGATCCTGTCTGGGTGCTCCATACTTTCAGTCTTGTGCCACATATAAGCTAGCTTAGAAAATCATTCTGGGTACCTCGGCGTGGTGTAATGGTTAGCAAGCTTGTCTCGCTAGATCAATTACAACTAAAAAGTGAGGTCGATCCTCACTAGATGCTCCATACATTCGGCCTTTTGCCACATCTATGCTATACTTGGAAAATAACTATATCTGGCAGTTGTTGCTGATTAAAAAGTAACAGGAAGTATCCTCATATAACCAGCACCTTCCTGAGTATACTTGCACATTCCAGAAATTCTAGGGTATCTACTGCATCAGCTTTTTCTTGAATGCTTAATTCATTCAACCTATCTTTACTATTTTGGCATTGTTCCCGGTGTGCCAAATATTATCGGCAGAACCGTAACTTTCATGTTCCACTCTTTTCGTATCTGCAGTGCGAGATGTTGGTATTTATCCTACTCTTGCAATTATTATTTTTTATTGTTATTGCTCTTGTCAAGAAAATAAAGAGAAATAAGAAAAGAAAGGTGTAGGGGTTTCATTTTTTTTTAATGAGATAGAAAAGAGGACCAGGATTTAATTCATATTGTGAAAAGACTCCGAACAAAAAAATATATTCATTACAACAATATAAACACAGAAAGAAATAAAATCACAAAATACAAAAGAAGACATGAAAAGATTAAATATTAAGTAGAGGTGAAAGTTAGTAAGAACTTGTTCACTATGATGGATTTGTTTGAAACATAAATAAATCCAACACAATTGTGTCCGCCATTGTATAAATAAATCCTCTGGGCATTCAAAACAAAAACATTTATACTGACCCCCCCCACCACCACTCCATAACCGCACGCCATTCCTACTCCTCTGAAGTTTAATATTTGTTTGACACATGCGAAGAAATAAAATATTTCATTATGTCACATTTAACCACAGACATATGCTAACTTGGCCTAAACTTTAAAAAAATGGTGTCTAAATCCTGCGGTGGCTCTAACAGATGTGAAGATTCGTCCTTGCTCTGGCCAAGCTGAAATTAAGAGATGGTGCACCGGTTAAAATATAAAAAAATTAACCAATGAACCAAGTTCAAACCTATGCTTAGGTAGTTTGTTTTCTTCAAACTAAAGCGTTCAAAAGAGACATAAATCAAACTATCATAATACTTTATATCAAAGATTACTCCTGTTTTTTTTTGTTTTTTTTCCCTAAATGTTCACCCAATACAAGGCCCATGACGTGATGAGACGATCCCTTGACAAACATCATCCTCTAGGTTTTACTTTATCACCAAGACCCTCAAGTCGATATCCTAACAAAAAAGTTGTCAGTTATTGACTACGCAGATGATACAGTTATCAATGCAGACGCCATTATTAATGTCACAGTTCTCCTACATCATCTAGAAAATGCTGCCAATGATGTTGGACTCTACGTCAATGCCTCTAAAACTGAATTCATAGGTTTCAACCAGCAAGGCTCAATGCAAACTGTCTCAGGTGAATCAATAAAATCTACCAAATCTTTTACATCCCTAGGAAGCAAAATAAATTCTACTGAAAAGGATGAGAAAATTAGCATAGCTAAAGCCTGGCCAGCCTAGAATAAAATGAATGTCATCTTGAGATCTGATCTACCCGGCAACCTCAAGCGCCACTATAGAGGCGGTGTTAATGTATGGTACCACTTCCTGGACCTTAACTAAAACACTAAAGTCTAAGATTGATGAAACCTACACTCGGATACTGAGAGCTATAATTCACATCTCCTGGAGACGACACCCAATTAAATCACATCTCTATGGAACCATCCCTGATATTTCTACAATCTTACTAAAACGCAGAATGCGATTTGCAGGACATTGTTGGTGAACAAAACAAGAACTCTCGAGTGGTCTACTGAATTTCTAGCCATGGAGCAGTACGTGTTGATCGCCCTATAACCACTTATATTGGCCAGCTATCTTATGGCACAGAATGTTCCACTAATGACCTTCTGACCTTGATGCAGGACCGTGATGCTTATTGTGATAGACTCATCAATCAATGTCCGAGCTAACT